TGGCCGATGTCCGATATTCAGTTTTAAGGCCGATACCGATAGGGGGCCGATTATGTCGTGCATCCCTAAATTAAATATTTCCCCCCAATACATGGTTTACTTAGTTTGATAAATAAGAACCCAATCCATATACATTTTTGTCCTAATCCATAAAAGTTCAGTGGATATTCTTTACCATCCATGTTATACTGATTTTGATTGCAATAAGGGGGGAGTTTTTCACACCGCAGCCTTCCTCACTGGGGTCCTCTAGGTTACATGATTAATCTTTAAGAAGTAAGCGTTGAGTTTTAAGCTTCAATAGGATCTGACCCATTCTCACCTTTTATCTCACCAAAAGCAAATGGTTTTAAAAGATCTAGATGTAACCTAAGGGTGAACATCCCTACTCTGCTGCTGCTTCTAATTTGTAAAACTGTTGGCCTTCCTTTAGAACAACTGCTCAGAGCTAATGAAACACTTGCTTATTATGCTTTTTTTAATAAACTTATAATCTAATCTGATCAAGCATCATACAACAAGCTGTTCCTTTATCTAACAAAGTATGTTATTATTCCTATCTTTTATTACTGTGCAGCAAATACATGAATCAAGTTCTGACTTTATGTCCTGAGTGTCTGAAGCACCAACTCTACTGCAGTCCCCTCTTGGTGCATTTTCACCAAAACTCTTGGTTTTGCTTCACAATCTTCTGTCCTTGCATTTCTTTTAGCACCTCCTACCACCTTTAAACCTCTCTTTTAAAACATACATGCAAAGAGCCATCAGAGCTGCCAGCCTTTCAGCAATGATCTTTTGTGACCTCATCTTTAAAGTCTAAAAATCCTTCTGAATTATTATTAATTACAAAAATAAAAAACAAGTGAATGGTTTGACCAGATCTACTTATATTACAAGACATCGGTGTTACATCCAACATGTTTTCAAGCATCTTATGTATATCTGGAAAATCAAACACCATATGATTTAAAGATCTGCTCACAATGAATTCAGAAGTATTTACCTCTCCTTTGGAATTATCATGGGTGACTGAGGAATTATTGGCAGAAGTTAATAACCTGGAAGGAGAAAAGAAACCAAAATCATGCATAGTAAAAGGAGGCAAGTTTCCAAAACGATTAGAAACAGCATAAGAGAACGAAGAGGACTTACTGGTCCTCTTTAAAGTAGGTGAAGCCAACAAATGGTAGCTGATTTCCAACGAAAGCTTTAGGTTTGGGGAACGTTTCGACGTCGCCTTTGTCATCTTCAATCTCGTCAAAATTACTTGTGTCTATGTCACTGCTAAGCTCTGGGACCACAGGAGCAACAGCTGATCAGGGGAGAATAAAACAAAATTAAATACATGAAACTGTTGGAAAACAGAGTTCATGAACATCAGAATAAGGCTTATCACTTACTGTCCCTGATGGTGTCAAATGTCCACTGGTCATTCTTGAAAAACGGGTGACGTTTGATTTCCTCCACCCCGTTTCTGCCCAACCGGACATCCCTACAAATAAATACATAAATCACTAATGATCAATAGATTTAATAGGCTCAGAAGATGTGCTGTTTCCCTGTTCTCTACCTGTCGGTCAGAAAGGCACAGATTATACTCTTGGCATCTTTAGAGATCTCCACATCATCAGGAAAGTTTAGGGAGTTCTTGTGGTCCATGATCTTACTGTAAGTTCCCACCAAAGAGTCGGCGTAGAACGGAGTGTCACCTAAAAGAAAGCGAGTGGAAATTAAACCAACTCGCTTCTGGTTCCTTTAAAGTCTGGAAGAGTTGGTGAAAGGGTCACTCACCCACGAGCATTTCAAAAATGAAGACGCCCACAGACCACCAGTCGCATTCCCTCCCGTAATACCCATCTCCTCCCTGAGACTTCAACACCTCTGGAGAGATGTAGTCTGGAGTTCCAACAGCTGTGTCACAGTGGACCATCCCAGTCTGCAATGCAAATCCCAAAACTGTAAGTTTTCATATGTTTTAATCTATTATTACTATTATCTATATGCAAAAAGACCCACTTTTGATTTCATCAAATCATTTCCTAAACCCCAAAAACACACTCACCGAGTCCATCTTCATGCAGGTGCCAAAGTCTGCCAGCTTCAGATGTCCGTGTCCGTCCAGCAGCATGTTGTCCGGTTTGACGTCCCGGTGGATGAAGCCCATGGAGTGGATGGAATCCAAGGCCATCACCACCTCTGCTGCGTAGAACTTGGCCCATTTCTCCGGCACATCATAGGTGCTGGTGAGGTTGACCAGGTCGCCTCCTGGCATGTACTCCATCACCATATAGAGGTAGTGCTCATCTTGGAAGGCACAGCACAACTAAACAGAAAAAGAAGAATGATTGATTGAATCTATAGGCAGGAGCTTGAAAAATCTTAGAAAGAAGTAAAGTTAGGAGAATGTCCCACCTGTACAACCCAGGGACTGTTGGCGAAGGCCATGATGTCTCTTTCTTCCCAGAAGAATGCAGAGTCGGAGCGCTTGATCATCTCAAACTTGCTCAGCAGCTTCATGGCATAGACTTTCCGTGAAGGTTTGTGTCGGACCTTAAACATCGCAAGAAGAAGAAGAACATTAAGCCGAAGTTAATCCGTTTTTCAATTGAAGACTCCAAATATTTTTTCCAAAAATCTATGTTTCATTTTCTTTATATCGCTAACATTACGAACATTCGATTCCAGAAAATTCAGGCTGACCCGTTTGAAAGGAAGTCTTTGTTTTGATACAGTAATATTGGTAAATGGACTACTATCACATAAAGACTGGAGCATCGTATAATAAACACAGATTCTTTGAAGCAGAGTTTGTAAAACTATAAATGTTGATACTCATTAAGAGTTTATAAATGGTGGAAAGTAATAAAGTATATTAACTTGATTTTTTAAATGAAAAATTACAATAAAAAATATCTCTCCTTATTTTTTGAGGCATTTTAAAGCCAAAGGTCTTTTCAAGTGGTGTAAAATCTGTAGCAGGTAGTTCTACTGATCAATACATCAGGTGGTTTCTGAAAGTTACAAGGTTCTTTAAAATACCTCTGAAAATTAAACAGAAATTCGCTAATATTAGAAAATTGAATTTCTATGTCGAATTTCGTATGTCCTGGGACCAGGTCTGGAGCCCCTGGGAGGGGCGGCCTAGTGGTTAGGGCATTACGCTTGGAATCTAGAGGTTCTGATTTCGAGCCCCACTCCCAAAGACTGCCACTCTGGTTCCCTGAGCAAGACCCTTAACCCCACACTGCTCCCCGTGCGCCGAACAATGGCAGCCCACTGGTTCCCCAGGGGACGGTTTTAATGCAGAGGTGAATTTCTCCAGTGTGAGACCAATAAAGTTCAATTATTATTATTATGATTGACAGGTTCAGCCTTCCTTTCAGTTACCCCGACATGCTTTGGTCATTTAACAGTTTGAAAGCAGCTAATGGTCAAATAAAACACAAAGTGGATCAATACTCACCAGCTGGACTTCACCAAAAGCCCCTCGACCGATGATTTTAACTTTCTCAAAGTCTTCAGACTTCATCTGAAGATTTCGAAGCTCTCTGATAACCTTCTCATCTGAATTAAAAATTGAAACATGTAGATTAGATTTTGGATAGAGAAAATTTCATTGGAAACTTTTTTTTATTTATTAAAGAAATGAGAAAACGACTCACATCTGTTCAAAAAGGTTTCAATGTTTTTGTTCTTGCGCAGTGCCGGGTAATCCAAATCCAAAACCAGCGCATTTATGGAGTCCTGGAAAACAAATTGGCACCAATCAGACAAGCAGAACAGCAGCTATGAAGCAACAAACAAAAACAGACAGAAACGTGCGTTTTGAAACAGCCAACTGCAACTTTTCTCTCCATTTTCCTCCTCCTGTCAGTTTTTATTAAACCCCCAGTGACTCACCAGCCTCCACAGAAACATTAGCAGCTGAGGCGTTGCATAACAAACCAGAAAACATGAAGTAGCATCATGCCGCAAAGTGTGAACCATGACCAATCACTTCTGTGCTCTTTTCATCCTAAATGTGTGGGAACCGTCACAACACCTGCTGCAAACCGCATCCTGATTTACAGCTGAGATGTTTGGTAGAAGAGCCCGCTCCCATAACAGCCGCTTCCTTGCTCACTCTCAGCGTTACAAGCCACTGACTGCCATTTCTAAGCAGTTTATTTTCAGTTTTCTCATCACTGAACAGAATGAAAACAGTTGATCTTTAGTGATAATCTGAATGAAATAGAGCAGCTTCCTCCCCCCAAGCACTTTAATCACACATTAACGGAAGCTGTAAGACAGAGGAAGTGACTAATTCCTCATCTGTCAGTCTGTCTTTGATTGATGAGCACATTGTCTTCTTATAACCTTTAGAAAATCAGAGTGAGATACGTCCCCTCTGCAGTAATTCATCATATATTACACAATCATTGATGAGTGAAAACACTGCTCCTACTCATCATGGACTCAAACTCCTATCAATCTCAGTGCTTTAAAGCCAGTTTTAACACAGGAATAAAAACACCCCTATAGACAGGAGGGATGAATGGACAGGATGGCAACATGAAAAATAAGCATCAGGCATCTTTTTTCATCCGAGAGCTCCTTTTTTTGTGCGTTTTTTATATATTTAGATAAACACATGTTGATGTGGTGTAACTTGGCAAGTAGGGTTGGGAATTGAAAAGATTTTCACGATTCCGATTCCCTTTTCGATTCTATGAAACGATTCGATTCTTTATCGATTCTTTTTTCGATTCCAATTTGGGGGAAAAAGGAGAACAAACAGTTTGATTATCAGAATCAACTTTGTTTACTTAACTATTGCACAATCTTACAAACTCAACAAGATCAAGATGTCCACAGGAAATGTGAAACTGGAGTAACATCTGTGTTTAAATGAAAAATGAATACAAGAACAAACTTAATAACCAACAATGTCTAATAACAAATGATGGGATAATAACCTATTTTAAATAACAAAAAATACTAATTATAAAACAGTAGTAGGGAAAATTAACAGTTCTTTTGCAGAAAGATTAGAATATCTGCTTTTTCTGGAAGGATACGGGATCTTTCAGGGCTTATGGTGTCTCCAGCCGTGGAGAACGCCCTCTCAGATGGTGTGGAGGAAGCCTGCACACAGAGGTAGTTTTCAGCCAGTCCAGATAGCAAGGGCAGCGTATCTTGCTTGTTCCACCACCACAGTGTGGCGCTATCCCTGCAGGGGATGGAGGGCAAGCTTTTATAGAGCTGGATTTCCTGATCTACCCTCTGGGCTAAGGAAAGACGGGGCTTTGATTCACAAAGTGACCGCAGCTCGTTGTCTTCCTCCTCGAATAGTTCTTCCAACTTGCGTAACTTGCGTAACTTACGTAAAAAACGTGACGTAAGTCGTGCTCCCCAGAGCCGGCGCTCTCGGCTCTGGTGCTGCGGGAATCGAAAAAAGAATCGTTCAGCGAGCTGCCAAACGATGCCATGGAATCGGAAAATACGGAACCGGTTCTTAACAGGAACCGGTTTTCGATTCCCATCCCTATTGGCAAGTCTTTTTTTTTTAAATGTATTCTCCGACCATCAAAATTCATAATATTATCTCACCTTAATTAGATTTTTAACTGAGTCAAAAAATTTGGGTAAAAACAGGAAACAGAACAAAAAAACACAAACACACATGGCAGGATGTCCTTTTAGAAAATCATGAAAGAACAGGGAATGCTTGACTTAGCTATAATTTAAATACAATAAGGAAGGTTTTTTTTTTTTCCCCCTGCAGGAAAGTTAAATTTAAAAAAAAAAAGAAAGAAAAAAAAACTATTTTAATCAGGCATCTTAAATACACCCTTTATATTGTGTTTATCATTATCTGGACAATCAGTAAATCAGCTCAGGAACTCCTAGCTGGGGCAGCTGTGGTTTAAATGTTCATTTTCAAATCAGAAAAGTATAGAGATAAAGAGGAAGGTCTCTCCACAGCCTGAGCAGCTCTGCATTAGCATTAAAATCTTCCGTCCTCAGGTAAAAATCACGCCACTTACTGTCTCTTCAGCTCACAAAACTTCTAAAAACTTAGTGCACCTATTTCATGTTAAAAAAAACAGGTTTGCAGTTTTGCTGCAGTGGAAGCTGGGGTAATGTGGGGACGCCATTAAACAAGAATGATTCTGGTCTCTAATTGTTACATTGTGCAACAATAAGGAAGCCATCTATCAACTTGTGGCAGCTGTGCATTCCTGCATTGCCCCCGTTTGAAACACTGGGTCAAACTGGACCAAATCTGACCCTGTGCTGTAAATGCTTTGTGGTACAATCCTCTTTAAATCTACTGTAACTAACTTCCTTTGATATGGTTTCCTCATCTTTCTCTCTCAGACTTATCTTCCTCTTCCTCCTCCCTCCGCCGCTCTACGCTCTGCTAACGTTGGTCAGCGGTAAGCCAAGCTGAGCGCTCAGCTTCCTCATCTCTGCATCACTTCCCCAATAAAGGACTTACCTCACACAAAACTACTATTTAAGGACAAAAACACTGACACACATACACTGCAGGGGGTGTAGGGGAGTTACCAAGTGTCAGTGCGTTTACACATGCCTGCTTTAAGATCTCCCAATGAGCGCGGGCAATACAGGAAACGATCCACCCCACCCCGAGGCCCGCAGATAATTTCACTGTCGTGAGGCTGATCTCTCTGCCTGCAAGTCATTTCCTATGAAGCGGCAGTATTTAGCTGCAGCTAGAAAAGGAAAAACACTGTATTATTGCTGGATAATTTGGGCCTGCTTACCATCATAATAGCCACAGAATACAAGGCCTTGTTAAAATACCTGCATTTATGATGTAAAATTAATTTTTTTAGTGGGGGGAAATGTCAAAGATATATAAAAAAAAACCAAGAAGCTTGGAATAGTGTCATTTGCTTCAAAGTATTAATCAAGGACTGTCTCTTTAAGGCGGGCGTGCTCAGAAATATACGTATTTATGACTGAGCTAATGAGTTGAGTAATGAAAACTTCCCCTTGATCAGCTGAGCGGTGGCAGCTTGGATGGTGTTCACACCAAAAGTCACCAGAAGTGCCCTGCTTTTCCTCTTTTTAAGACCATAAACAAGTCATTGAAACATCTATCATGCATTAATGCAAAATTTCATGCAAATTCCATTTGATATCAATAAAGAATCATTACTTTTCCTTTAATTGATGCTGTATAGCAGCTACATCTTTATAGTAATCTGAAGATTGTGTACTAAATATTTATTCTTTTATTTTACAGCTGCTTACTTCAGCTTACTTTCTGTGTGTATAAAGAGCTAGAGAAAAGAAGATAAATATATCAAACTGATGTTAGAGAGTTTTTTTATTTGATGAACTTCCTCCTGAGGACACTGCTGGCTGTTAGTCATCCTGAAAGCTGGAATGTGCAAATTTATGCTTAACCTGACAAACATCTGCAGGTAATCTGAATCTCAGCAGTATTAAGCTAATGCTCTAGGACGTTTATTTAAACCAAAGACTTCTACTGTTAGTAACAAAGCAATAAGGTGTTTTGCTTTAAGCAGTTGAACCAAGAGTCAAATACATAGAATAATAGAATTTCCTGCAGACTTCCAAAGTACAAGCTTGAAAAAATACAAGAGTCTGGTCTTAACCAGAAATGTTCACAAATATGTTTTTCTAAGTCTAAGGAAAGTCTGATGTTTCAACCAAAGTTTGGATCGTGTTTCATGATGAGTGAGATTAACAGTTTCTCATCAAATTCATAACTTCTAGATCACTTAATGCCAAACCCTGCATCGCTGTGGGATAGGAATTCAAATGTAGAAATTTCCTAATCCAAAAACATCTCAGTGTTGTTTTATTTTATTTTAAAATTGTATCAAAATTGTACTGGAAACAAATTCATTCCCTCACAAAATTAATAGATTAAAAGCAGCCCTGTGATGGACTGGCAACCTGTCAAGGGTGTACGTCGCCTCTCACCTTTAACCCCCGGCTCACACCGACTCCGGTCTTACCGTTGCGGTGCGGTGTGTGCGGCGCCGCAGTGATTCCAAGTCATTAAAAAGACGTAAACCTCTCTCACCGGCTGCTGAGCTGTCCGGGTGCGGTTACCGAGACACTCCGGCGCTGCAGAAAATTCCGCAAGAAAGCTATCCTTGCGGCGTGCCGGAGCCCTCCGCAACAAGCTCTCGCAAATATCCTTATTTGGGCCGTGTTATCGCGTGAAGTTACGTGAACTCAAGTGAACTTCTGTTCTCGCGAGTTAAATCTCCGGACCTGTTGCCGGAGCCGCAGAGCCGCACCGCACCGTAGTCAAAAGGGCGGTGTGAGAGGGGGTGTGCGGGAGTTGCGGTCTCCGTCGGCTCGGTAACCGCACCGGAGCCAGTGTGAGCAAGGGGTTAGACAGCTGGAGATAGGCACCAGCACCCATCGCCACCCCGATTGGGATAAGCGTGACGGAAAATGGATGGATGTTTAATTTCTGAGTGAAATTGAATAAATTGATTTACCCTGTCTTCATATTTTCCAGTCCGATATGAGTTTCACTAAAGTCTGACAGGGTTTTTCTTCTTCCAACTCTAAGCTGAAGAAGTTTTTTAAAACACTGGAAAGATTTTTGCAAAAAAATAAAATAATTTTATTCAAAACTTTATATCATCAATTCTAGTTACAAACAGATAAATAAATAATAGATCTAGATAATACAAATAAGCTAAAAATGACAACATAATAAACAAGACCAAATGTAATGCATATTCAAA